ACGATGATGACAAGGAGGACCAGTCCCCACCCTCTCACAACTCATCTACGCAACGGACCTCGGGGAGGCGAAGTCAAAGAGACAACGCAAGAGGGCCAAGCATGAGCCGCTGGACCCCCCAAACCTACCTGCTTCTGTTGACCCTTCCCAGCTCCCACCACCGAACTGCCCATCTCCCCCTGCTTCCCAAGGTAGTTCAAGCAAGCCATTTACCGAGAACTCTGGCGACCACGCTCCGCTCCTTGCCCAGGGCGCAGCTTCCAAGTTATTGTCGTCTTTACAAGCTTTGATGGCTCAATCCCAAGAGTCAGATTATCGGGACCCCGAGCGAATGGCGGCGAATCAAGAGCATCACGACACGTTCGACATGGAATATAGCAGTGAGACAGACGAGACCACCGCCGTCGTGACAAACTTCGACATCGTTCCCTTCCGCCCTGTTTCACGTGGCGATGGCCAACGCTGCTCGAAGATGCAAAAGATTTCCTCCAGCCTCGACACGTGGGCGACTCCAAGCTTTTATGCCCCTTGGCAACATTGGAAGCTGGCGTCAGTGAGCACCAATGGGATGCACAAGATTCGATCGACGCCTTCTTACCCACGTTTCAACGGTCCGACGTCTCTAACCTGTCTCCAAGAGAGTGAATCAACCGTTTGAACCTGGACAACGAGGTTGTGTGTTTTGATGTGAACGCAATGTCGCTGGCCCAGATCCAGGAATTCCTGGAGAAATCGGCAATCGACAGCGCGACATCGTCGTCACCTGACCATTGGATCCTGGCCCAGCAAGCAGAGTGGGTGGACATCCAACGAGCGACGGAGGCTTGCCAAGCCGATGCCCTGTGGGACGCCATCTCTAAGTATCCCCTTCAAGTTCGAACATTGGTTGGCACAATCTTTCAAGCACAGATCCGCGCGCGCTAGCGGCAGCCGTCCGCTTGCACACATGGCACCGATGGGTTACAGCCAACAATTGCCGGTCTTGACGCAGCTTCATACCCGCGTTCAACATGATCGCATGTATATTGGCTACTCAGCACTCGTTCAAGCAACTGCATTCGAGCATGGTCCTGGTTGAATCTGGAGTACGTACAAGCTAGATGACTCAGCCAACCACTTGCTCGACGAAGATGCTCTGGCCTTCTTTGAGCTGCTACTGGCATCCCAGGCCCCAGACGTGTTTGCTCATAACGAATGGATTGTTCGCGTCACGGCGCAACCGGTGGAATGGATCCCGATAGCCATGGCACACGTCTCCTGACTCCTTCAACGCCCCACACGGTGCTCCGCTCGGCTCTTGGTGAAGCCATTCTCCAACACTGGCAACGCCTGATCCCATCTTTCCCCCTGGTGGCATGTTTCCACGCGTTGCAACAAACCCCGCAGCTTGCCCTCCCAGACCATACTGCGATGCTGGCAAGCGTGGACAGCATCGCCGCACTCCAATACCGCAAACTCTCGTTCGGCGAAATGACCAGTCGCAAATAAATTTCGACTACCTGAATCTACCCAACACCGACCTATCCCTCAACTGACAATTCATCTTGCACATCAATGTCATTTCGACTGCGAACAACAGCGTTTTGTTCGTGGACCAAATTGCCAAACACACCAATACTCTCGCCATCCAAGAAACCAAGCTTCGAGACAGCCATCGTTTGGCCACGTTTCGATTTCATTTGGATCATGGCTTTGGCCGAGACAACTATTTTCTTGCCGTCAACGATCCCCGCACTGATGATGCGCACGAACTTGGCCCAGATGAGAGTCGAACACATCGTAGTGGGGGAGTTGCCCTCCTGTTCGACTCTACCGTCCCAGGTTTCGAACAGCTTCAACACATGCGTGAATGGGATATTGCGTACAGGTACATGGTGGTCAAGACTCATTGGGCTTCATCCCCCGTGTACTTACACTGAGTCTATGCCCCAGTTCGCCGACATGAACGAGCCACCTTTTTCGAGTCTCTTCCCAGAGATTTTGACCCCAACGCCATCCACATTGTGATGGGTGACTTGAACCTCACGTTGGACGACCGCATCGATGCTACCAACCAGCACCATGGACATCGCACGGGAAGACCCGAATGCTGCGACTGGCTCAACTCTCCGTGTAGTAGATGCATGGCGTTGGCACCATGTGGAAGATCAAGTCTTCACGGGTCCCCAAAACACTACTCGCCTGGACTACATTTTCTCCGACATTGATCTGACCCGTGATTGCTATTCCTCAAGCGAGATATTCCGTCCTCCCGTGCGGACCGCTGGGGACCATGCGATCACATCGCTGGTTTTGGAGGACGTGCATCAGACCATGGGCAAGCCGAAATGGCGATTGCCCAAGTAATTGCTGCGCAACCCCCAAATCCGCGCGACAATAGCAAACGAAGCAAGTATCATTTTGGAGACCCTCTAGACAGCTGTGAATCCAAGGGTCGTCTGGCATGGCAGGCAGTGCCGCGTCCGTCGTTTCATGCGGGAGACATATCATCTCCTGGCGCTAAAAATGACAGAGATCTCGCCGACAAGCGCTGGCAAATGGCGCGTGAGTTTCATCAAGATGGCATCTCCACAGACCAGGATCTGGCCAGGAAGAGAGCATATTGCTTGACTCTGAGGAATGTGGACGACCTACCACACTGACAACAAATTCGATTTTCACGCGTCACAGACGGAGATATCATCGTCCATATCTTTCGTCCCCCAGTCAAGGTGCTGTACATGGCTCCTATACGACAAGTTCGATGCGAAAATGGGTCGATTTCGTCTGACCCGACGGTCATTCAACGTCAGTTTGTCTGACATTGGAGTCAAGTCATGCGAGAGGAAGACCGTCAAATGCCGACCGATAAGGAACGCGACCATTTTCTTCGAGTATTGTCACGGCGACTCTCCGACGACGACAATATTTTCCTCGATGCGGACATTACGAGTGACGAGCTTCAGCATAGCATCGAAACAAAGCAGCCAAATCGCACCCCTGGTCACGATGGCTTCCATGTGTTTTTACCAAACGGCCCCCGCGACATTTGTCAAAATTTTGTCTATTATGTTCAACTACCAACTCTCACGCGGCCGTCTCCTCAAGAGCCAGCGCACTAGTAATGTGGTTCTGTTGTTCAAGAAAGGCTCGCGTGAGGACCCTGGCAATTATCGCCCAATTAGCCTTATGCCAGCGGAAGTCAAGATTCTTTGCCGGGTTTTGACTCATCGGCTCTCGTACTTGATGCCAAAGCTCGGTCTTCCCACCCAGAAAGGCTTTGCCAAAGGCCGTCGTCTCCACGACCACACAACGTTCATGATGGACTTGCAGCATTACTGTACCACGGACGATGTGGAAGGATATGCAGCCTTCTTGGATTTTTCCAAGGCTTATGACCGTGTGACCTGGGACTACATGTTTGGCACGCTCAATGCATTTGGCTTTGGTCCAAAATTTGTGGCATGGGTGCGTCTCCTTTACTCCGCTCCGCTCCTATTTTATGCTTGCGCGTCATTGGGACGGAGTCTGGCCCGATTGACCCCAATCGGGGGGTCAAGCAAGGCGACCCGCTTTCCCTCTTTTGCTTATCCTCACCTTGGAGCCACTCAACCAAATGCTACACAACAACGAAGCACATGTCATTCTGCTGCCTGATGGGATGATTGCTGCAGGACTGACGTTTGCCGACGATACAACTCTGATCGCGTCTACGGTCTGTGGCTTGCTCGATAAGCAGGGAGAAAGGTCGAAAGTGGTAATTGTTGTAATCAACGACCTTGGGGTCGGAATGGAAAAGATCCTTAAAAGCACTTCTTGGAGACGCTTCGAAATTCGATCGACCTGCTTTAGTGCGTCAACAAAGTCTAGTTGGACTTTATCGGCACTACTGTCTTCCTTGAGGCGGCGAAAACATTTCTCATTTCTTTAATGGCACCGTCTTCTTCGCCTTGACTTGACACTTCTTGCGCAACTTGTTCCCTTCAGTCGCGCTTACGAGGAATTTGACGGGATTTCGCATAACATGGCAAACCCTAGTAGCAGTTTAGCGCCAATCCAGACTCACACTTACAGTCTTTCTCAATAAATATCCTGTCACGTATACTCACAGAAGGAGAACAGGTGGAGCTGTAGTGATGTGGAGCTGCTCGAAGGGATGCTGGCTGACGATTGGACGACTTGGACGTCGGCGGCGGACAACTCGGGTAGGTGCAAGAAAATTCCGGCTCAGTGCAGGGTTTTGACGCGGTGTGTTTGACCTCGGCGGGGATGGCAGCGGAAGTTACTCGTAGCCAATTGAGTGTAAATTAGAAAGTGATTAAGCTGAGGTTAAGCTAGTCTACGAGAATGTCGCTTTCTAGATATTCTACATTAGGCAACGCTAGGGCGGTGTGGCTTCCATAAGCTTTCACTTGCGCAAGGCTCATGTAACATGCTGATTGGGCAGATTATGTATGACGTGGCCTTAAGGCGACGTTTGATTCGTGGATCAAATATTTCACGCCGATGTGGCTCAACACATTGTTTTGGCGGCCAGTCGGGCGGTTGTTTCGCTGATACCTGTTCGGGCGGTTCTTTATGTTCGGGTAGCGTTGCGTGTTTGAATTCTGTGGAGCACTGCAGCATTGAGCTGCGCGGTGGCCTTATCGTCCGCAATTGTAAAATTTCTCTTGTGGTTTTTGCGGAGTACGGGAAACATGAATATTGTCGACTTCCATGTCGACGTCTTCTTCCTGTCGAGGTAGGTGATAAAATCCAACTATGCGCTGATCTTGTTACTGGTCATGGCGATGTTCTTGGGGGCGAAGGAAACTGGGCGATTATAGCGTCTGTCTTGATAGGAATGCTCTTTTGGGCGGCTGTTGAGGCTAAAGTGGTCATACTCAAGGGCGACTTGGATGGCGGCGGTCACATTGGGGCAACGGCGGTACTGTACTTCTTCTCGCATTCGACCGCGCAGTCCACGCTGAAACCAGGACTCCTTGTCACGTTCAGTCATACTGTATTGCAGACTTGGGTACAGATGCGTCTGAACTTTGCAATGTATTCCATCAAGTTTGCGCAAATGGCTAGTTTCGAATCGTAAAGTTGGTCGCGAAGTCGGTCTTGTAAATCTTCTAGTTCAAATTCTTCGCGAAGTTCTTCTAGGTCTATTAATGTTTCGGGCGATCTTCTTGTTGTGCGCAAGCGGTCTTGACACATGCGGTAGTTAGTCCAAGAAAGTTGGCTACGATTAGGGCGATACAACGCTCATGTGTTATGGGGTCTCGTTAGAGATTCAGATCCTTCGCCTTGAAAAGGTGTTAACTTGATGAATATAGAGTCTGATGCTCTCATCCATTCGTCCGTGAAACTTGGGCATTGTACGGCATTTTACCTTGACTTCTTGTGTACCAGCAGCGAGTATATTTGCTGCTTGCAGAGCTTGACCATATCGGCGTCATCGGCCGGAAAAGGTCGGTGATATTAGTTGAACAAGCAACCTCATGGACACGAGTTTTCTTTCGCGCCACCCACCGTTTAATCTAAGACTGTGTATGGATTCACAATCTTATTAATCGCAATGTCCGCCACATGAGACTCGCGCAGATATTTGGGCAGAGGGAATAGTTGTACAGAGTGAAACATCGAGCAGTTTTCGTTGGGTTTTCATGCATATTGTGATGGGTTTTTGTGAAAAAGATGATTCCAGTCACAAGGTATGAGTGAACTTAGCGGAGTAATTTTGCACGTACTTTTGAAATTTTCGTCCTCTGTTGCACTGATTCGCCGAAAATACGCCGAAAATGGAGGAAAACCACTGTGAAAACAAAATCAAGCTGCGGAGCCAAATGTGTTCTTTGGTTTCCACCGGGACCAAACGTTCATATCGAGCGTGATGCAGCGGGTACTCAAATACACGTTGCACATCTTCCCATTTTCCCGTGCGATACTGCGGCGCAACGCCATCGAACC